ACGAGGCAATACTGGTCAAATACTACTTAGGGAGGTGGATACAATCTTATGAAAGGGGTAGGTGAGGGGGCTAGTGGTTCTCAACCTTTTTTTGTCAACGGCACACCTTCTTGGAACACATTAAAAAAAATAGCGGCACACCTACATATATATGAAAAATATCTTGAATTTTGCAAAATAAAAATATGGTAAGTCAGACGGCATACAACCGAAGACAGAGACTAGCCATAGACACATAGAATGACTCAAACTAAATAAAGAAAAACACAGATATGAACTTATCAGTAGACACCAGTGAATATACTCAGTTGGGATCACGTGGTTTTTCGCACTTTCTTTGTGTGCCGTTCAAAATTTCGCGGCATACTTAGGAGGATCTCACGGCATACCTGTGTGCCGCGGCACACCGATTGAGAATCACTGGTCCAGAGTATCTGCCATATCAACCTCGGTGAAAGTGGACGTTAAACACTAACAGAAGAATAACTCTTATGGAAGCAGACGTTAAACATCCCCCAGACAGCCGGTGGTGAAACCGCCATTTACACCAAGGACTCGGCCCTAACTATAGTGCCAAAAACATCTTCCACAGGACTCGAAACTGCCTCAGTTATCCCACTACCAAAGCAAGATAAATACAAATGCGAAACGTCAACCCTTTTTCAAAACACCCGAATCTGTCATCACAGACTGAAATATTTCTGTGAAAGTACCAACATCCTAACAAACCAACAATGTGGATATCGCGCATACAGAAATGAAATGAAATGATGTTTCTTCTACTTTTTGGCACCGACTGGGCCTAGAAAGACCGGCATACGCCATGCATTGTGTTATGATGACAATGTTGCCCTGTCAGCGGCGCTACTGCGTCCTCTTATTTCCAATTCCAACTGTCAAGAGTACTACAACCAAGTCCCAATCGAATGCCCCGAAGTCTTATTAGACAAAACTAAAAATAAACAACTTCAGTTCAAACGCTGCTCTTTCCCTCCTTCCTTCCAGGTAAAAGTCTTCTTTCCTTCAGAGAAGCAACAGCAAAGGGAATGAAGACGATCACTGACTGATCTTTGAGAAAAATATGTTGGCAAGACGTTGATACCACATTACCACTTCTCGTTTGATGGCTTCCCATAACTAACACAATTTTGCTCTACTTTATTTTCACTCTGAAAACAACCAACGGATGATGATCTGTTATTAGTGCGCTCTTTCCATAACATCCGGAAGTCGATTATTCCGTTAAAGATGCATGATGCCAAGTCCATAATCAACTTTCTAGACCATCGGGTAGTTTTGATTTTAAACGGATTTAAAAACGATTGGCAGTTAATAATTTAACGGTAGCAATGACAAACTTGACTACACTGTTCTTCACACGGCCATAACCCCGCTAAGAAATTTCGACATATTCCCTTTTTTATTATCTATTTTAAAAAAAAAAATTATAGCGAGATCTGTCGACTCTTTATCTAAATCTTGCATAATGTATCTTTTAAGTCAAATACCATACAATGAAATATATATATACAAAGAAAATATTAAAGACATATTATACTGGATTACGTTCGTATAAAAATTAAAGGAACTATCCCGATTTGAACAACGTCTCAAAAATAAAGGTCCGAGTAATATAGAGGAATGGTGTATTTACCCTGTCCCAAAATTTCAGCTCCAAATATTGAGTTGTTTGGACGTGAACGTCAAAACTGCTTATCCGGACACGTAACCTGTTTAAGATTTTGGGTCAGTTTTTCCGTTGGGTGACCTGATAATCGATTCCCGTTCCTTTAGAGGTCTACACAGTGAATGACCCATGTGCTGTACTTGATAACGAAAGGTAGGAATTATGAGAGAGCAACAGTTTCTCTATGTCCGTTGCTTGTTTGCCAAAAATGGGAATTGATTCATTAATTTTATCATTATTTAAAAATAGAATGAACTAATATAAAAATTATATTTGGTCCTACACTCCGTGAAAAATAAAATAAAATGATATTCATCTTCATCATTCTCTAAATTACAGTTTTACGAATTCTATGGCACTGTTCAACTTTTTACGGTATTTGATATTAATATTTTTTGTTAGTTAAGATTGCAAGACAAATCTTTCAATAACTCGTTTGTTGCAACTCCCTTGTAATCTGTGAAGGAGAATAATTGTTTGTACTCAAAACAACTTAAAATTAACTAAACATTAACATCTTTCCTAATAGATGTTCAAGTAAATATAAACCACTATTCGACCTTTACATGTATTTCAACTTCGATTTCCGTATCAACACTTAAGTACAGATTTCAATCTATAACTGCGAACTATTAGTATTATTATTATTATTGATACTTACACCAATGACGAAGTTGATCAATTGTCAGGAGAGACTTGTTTGATCTCTCGTTTTAAATATATCAATTGTTTCAAGAGCACGACTTTGGTTATTGTCGCGGCTTGTTCCTATGGGTGCCATTTCTTCGTGAATTTCTGATAGTTTTATTACAATTTCCTAAACAATTATGTTCAGAAAAGTATACATCCTTCATATTTTATTCATTTACTTCAGGTGCTCTTCAGGTAAGCCGCTTCATCTTTTTAATTTATCACTGCTGCGAATTCGGCGCTACATGGTATTTATACATCAAACGGGACAAAACTTTTAAGAGAAAATAATAACTGGTTTTTACCCTAAAAGCGCGATGTTTTGACAAATATCAAGCACAATGACATTTAGTTGTTGTCGTTTATTACAAATTTAACGTGTAGTATATCATACTGATTTAAGTAAGTGCAAGTAATAATAACAAAAACATCGGTAAAACAATGTCATTAAAAAACACGGTGGTAAAATTCACTGCCTTGAGATGAGAGGGCGGGGTCATCTTCTTTCTTCGTCGTGATAAAATTAAGTTAAAACATTGTGCTTGATAAAGATAAGAGAATACTTGTTGAAACGTCGTGCTTTTAGAATAAAACCAGTGATTGATATCCCATATAAAATCTGTTCTGTTTAATGTATTTCTCAATCGCTAAGTGCCAGTCTCGACCTGATTTCAATATACATATTATCATATCCATTGTTTAGTTACAGTTTAATTCGGTGTATCGTATGAATTTATGACTTCTCGACACCGTTAATGGTCTTCATTGTATATTATTGTATATTATTATGGAATGTGGTAACACACATGCACATGTGGAGGTCTGAAAAGAATTTTTGGAAAAAATTTCTTTTGGAACTCTTGCGGTGAAAAAAAACCCCACTCTATGAAAATTAAGTCAAAAATCAAAAGTTTTGTGGAATGTGGTACCACACAGGCACATAGGGAACTCTTGTGGTGAAAAACACCACAGACCAGTCGAAAATCTTCTGGAATTTATTTATTTTCAGAAACCCAATATCGCGTGGAACTCATGCCCCTAAACCTTGCCATATATGTCGCTATTTATATACGTCAACTGATCACGTGACTGAATGTCCAAAAATATTTGCTGTAATTACCGTAAACGTCAGTGTTATTTTTGTAAAGTTGAAATGAATACATATATAACAAACAGTTGACAGATTTTTAAATATTTTATCAAAGTTCAATGTATGTTTATAAATTCTTGAAACCTCTCCGTCCTTTAATGCAATCAACTGTGCGACAATACTTTTCTTTTCGTATGGCCTTGCTTGTATTTGTACCAGTAAACTGACGGTCACAAAGTTTATTAAAACGAATAAAACTAACCAAGTGATCCATGGTGAATACCGAGTAGGTTAGCCGGATTATTATCGCGGTAATCCATTAGATACCCTGAACAGACTTAACTCAGGGGTAATCTGTCCTCGATGAAAAATCTGCACTCAAAATATATATCTATTTTGTCACTGTACTTTGTCCTAGTAAGTTTGCCCCGTGAGTGGCATTAAACAACACTCACAAGGCCAAATTTACTAGGAAAATGTACAGTGACAAAACAGACGAACATTTGCGGAAGGATGTAGCAACAGCCAACACAATAAAGCATTCGCTAAAAACGAAAGTAGGTTTTTAAAGAATAACAGCAAGATAGTACATAATGATAGGGATGACAAAACATATTCTAATGTACCCAACTATAGATGGGCTGAAACTGACAAAACATATCCTAATGTACCCCACTATAGATGGGATGAAACTGACAAATGATACCAAACTTTAAAACTTTTTGTTTTATATTTTAGGTCTGGAGATAGACCAATGGGGCACACATTTTGTACTGTCGTTCCTCAAAAACTTTGGCAGTCCCATAGAAAATGTAGTTGTCATAACAACGAGAGAGAAAACTGATGTCCGTGTTTCGTCATTTGGAGCGTCTGGCCAGGTTTTGGACACTTCGCTTGCTGCACTCCAATCGCATCGTATTAACCTTACAGAAGAGATGATGATAACGACATTTTACAAAGTGTTAGAGAAGAAGGCTGTCTTGATAGAAAGTTCGGCCAAAATATCCGTGTACGGATTTAGCTACAAACCTGAACACAATTCTGCTGATGGTTTTCTGGTTTTGCCAATTCCATCTCTAGGTCTGGAGTATATGTCAGTTAATCTTGATGATAAAGGTTAGTGTACACTGTTTTTCTCTTGAGATTTAATAGTATTGCAACACCTTGTGCAACAAAAAGTAAAGCAATCGATAGGACATGGTACCGTGGTCCGGGCAAAATTTCCCTCTCATAGCACACTGTAATGGGGAAAGCCCTTCTTCATTAGCCCAGTCGGTGCAGAAAAGTAGGACGTTAAACCACATTCCATTTCCCGTTTTTGGATCCGAGGGGAAATAGCTCATTTTACATCATAACATTTTCCTGCGACAGATGTCAATCTTATACTAACGAAGTCGGTGATTTCTACTTTCAGCTCAGTTAGCCGTGATAGCTGTAGAAGACGTGACCTTCATTAAAATCACATTAAAAGGAAACAATAGTTGTTTATACGATGGAATATGGACTAAATATGATGATGGCTCCCAACACACCTTTACCATGGACGCGTATGACGTCATAAGCTTGTATTGCGAAAGACATATGACGGGTTCGTTGGTATCATCAGACAAACCGGTTGCAATTTTAACCGGAAACGAATGTGTTTCTCTCCCAAGTACTGCATCGTGCGACCACGTTGTAGAAATGCTTCCTCCGGTAAGTCAGTTCGGTGACGAATTTGTGGTCGTACCTCCTTACGGACATTCATACGACGCTATTCTTCGTGTTGTGGCTTTAGGCGATGACACTACGTTCTTTATTAAAGGTTCTGACTGGGTACTTGCAGCTGGAACCCATCAGGATTTTGAAATAATTCCTTATGATAATATATGTTTCAGCAGCTCAAAACCTGTCATGGCTGTCATATTCATGAGAGGACCCAGTCAGAGTGGCGACACTAATTATAGGGGTGATGCGTTCATGATGTACCTCCCACCAACACAAAAATACACAACAGAGTATGTTTTTGATGCAAATGTTTTAGAATCCTACACGACATATGCCATTGTGATAATGCATGGAAGCACCAAGTCTACAATAATACCAAGCATACCAGATACACAGTCTATCAACGGTTGTTGGGGCTATTACAAAGATATAGTTCGTGTTGATGGACTTATTCATTACTCATCTAGAGACACATTCAATGTATTAGTATATGGATATGATAACAGAGAGGCTTATGGTTACCCTGCTGGGTTGAAATTAACGGATTATTCTGGTAAAGTTTTACTATTTATATCTATAATTGTCCAACACACATTAAAGAAGGAGCCGCGGTGTCTCATTGAATAACTTGTATATCCCGGTTGGCCAATTAAGTTCTTCTGCATTATCCGACATGCTTTCTGGTGGAGGGCCCTGCAAGAAACCACGTCTGGTCATTCTATGGGACGGAAATCCAGGCCCTGTAATAAATGGCCAAAACAAGCGATCACCACATATAATCTCCGTTAAAATCTTTGGATCCGATGGGCCCATTTTTAAACCGATAGAATTCTGATTTTGTTTTCTTAATTAAATGTTGAATAATTACTTCGGGTACATTTTAGCATATATTTAGCCGTCGAAAATAGTTATTGTCAGTAAAGTCCAAACGTCGATCAGCGACGGTAATATTGTTTTGGGTCTTCAATAGTGTTCATTCAAGTATGTCATTTTTGTTTCAGGGGTAGAAGAATGTTCAGAGATTCCTTGTCAAAATGGCGGCTGGTGTTTAGAAGTTGGCCTATCCTACAGATGTCACTGTTTAACAGGGTTTGCCGGAGATCACTGTGAAAAAGGTACCCAGCGTACTTTACATAAAACTTAAATTAAAAAAAATAAATTTCGAAAGATTACACTGAAAAGACATAACCTAAGAACGTCTTCAGTTGGGTTTCCCTATCCTACGAAATAGCAAATCGGCATAGCTAAGCTCTTGTCAAATACTATGCAATAAAGTCTATGGTTTTTAATGCTTCGCAACCTACAATATTGTGAAAGTTGTGAAAGCTGATTCTCTTTAAGGTATATTAGTCCACAAATTTCGCAACCCTCTTCATCCTCGGTAGACCATAAAAAATGAAATGGGGTTTAACACCCTACTGTTCTACACCGACTAAGGGATATGGTCAAAATAAACCAGCACCACTTCTCTAAAATCTATTGTTGGGTATCTTTTTAATCCAACTGCACACCGAGAACGTTTTAATCTTCTTCGAGAATAGATCTCTGCCCTAAATGGTCGCCATATCCAACAATTAGTATAATATTTTGTAATGCGGTCCTACCCCGGTTCACATCTGTTATACACAAAACGACTAATTAAATCTTTTCAGTTTTAATACATGAAAGCTGAATATATACTTCTCAAAATTCTCGAAATATACGACTTAAAATGTCGGTCAACTAACTTAGTGTCTATTTTCTAATTGTGTAGACAGACAGCGTAAGTTTAGTATAAAATGTCAAAGCACGATTGTTCGATATAAAAAGGGGGGGGGGGTAGATGGCCGAATGGTTAGCACGTGCGTGCTGTATCATAAGGCCTGTTATTGAGTCAACTGGCGTGGTTTCGAGAGAGAGAGAGAGAGAGAGAGAGAGAGAGAGAAATGGGGTTTAACGTCCACTCGACACAAACTAGGTCATTTCGGGACTAACATATGGTTTAATTTTATTTACATAATTCGCTTGCGCGTAGGGTTCTTTAGCAGTGGGAGGAAACCGGAGGCCCCGGAGAAAACCCACGAGGTTGGACAGGCGACCCTGCTCCTTGCCACGTACAACCGGGGATTCGAAACCACGCCAATCGACTCAATGACAGACTTTATGATACAGCACGCGCACGCTAACCATTCAGCCATCCAACCCCCCAGCGTGGTTTCGAATCCCCGGTTGTACGTGACAAGGAGTAGGGTCGCCTGTCCAACCTCGTGGGTTTTCTCTGGGTCCTCCGTTTTCCCCCCACTGCTAAAGACCCCTACGCGGAAATAAAATTAAACCATATGTTAGTACCGAAATGACCTAGTTTGTGTCGAGTGGATGTTAAACCCCATTTCTCTCTCTCTCAATATAAATGAGGGGGGGGGGGAGTGGCCGAATGGTTAGCACGTGTGTGCTGTATCATAAAGCCTGTCATTGAGTCAACTGGCGTGGTTTCGAATCCCCGGTTGTACGTGACAAGGAGTAGGGTCGCCTGTCCAACCTCATAGGTTTTCTCCGGGTCCTTCGGTTTCCTCCCACTGCTAAAGATCCCTACGCGCAAGCGAATTATTGAAATAAAATTAAAAACCATATGTTAGTCCCGAAATTACCTAGTTTGTGTCGAGTTGGCGTTAAACCCCATTTCTCTCTCTCTCTATAAAAGAAGGGAAGATAGGGTTGACTGTATTATGTACGTTTAACATTCTGCTCTTTAAAATCGTGTATACATTTAGAATTTTAGAGAAGGCATTATTGACCCCAATTAGAAAATAATAAATGTTGTTTATTCAAGCAGCAACGGTGGCTCAGTGCGTAGGGTGATAGCCCACTTACCAGGGGGTCCGGGATCGATCGCGGCTTTAGCAGAGCAAGTTGTCCAGGATTTTACAGCGTTGTTCCAGTTGTCAGTAAATGCAAGTTTGGGGTGCACGACAATGTCTAGTTGTTCGGGTGGTACGAAACACCGAGGTCACATAAGCACGTTGGCGTGCATAATAAAAAAAAAATTATGTCAAATTTTACGTACCGGTACATTTTAATCTGAAATTGTCAACTCGGATATGGTGGGAAGTGGGGGTGGGGGGGGGGGGGAGTGAAACATTCATTTCATCGAGTAGGCACGGGATTGTCATGCAATCAAAGAGTGAAATTAAGATTAAGTTGGTTTTTTTTAAAATTTGAAATTATCGCCGTTAACGTTGTTGTACTGACTGTCGTTATTTAATTTGAATAAACAGTTCATTTTCACTTTTTAAAAAAAATCTAAAACGTCTTCTTTCCTATCCTATATTTGAATTGTGGAGATATACAATCAAAAAGTGGGCTCCTAGCATAAACAAACCTGTGGTCGCAACTGTTGTCAAACAATTTTTGGGCTAAAACCTACTTTAATCACTACCTTCTGTTATCTTGTTATCTATTTTCTCATTACATTATTGCCCATCAATCCGTTAACATAACTATTGTGTTAGAATTTAATTTGACATTTATATCGTAATGAAGAATATGCATTTTGACAGCCTTGCATATCTATTACTCCATGTTATAATTGTACAGACAGGGACGACATCTTGGCAAGTTAATTAGCTATCAATAATTATTGTTTTTTGTAAACAACGCGGGTATTATCGACGTCATATGATGTTACGTCACACGATGAACTTTACTGGGCATGACCTTAAAGGTCAGCCATTTTGTACAGTGATAAAAGAAGGCTTGAGCATTACTACTGTGAGGCTACATGTGCTGATGGGTTACATCTGAATTAATTTTTGTATAGCTGGATATCCAGGACTATCATTCTTTAATGATGGTCTGAAAGGAACTATTGAATTTATTACGATAACCAGCCACCACAGCCCAACAATGAGGCCTTAGACTACAGTAGGAGAATGAATAACACAGTAGTGATTATTTAAAATGGTAGCCGAGGTCTAAATCGAACAAACAAGTCTTGACTATTTGAGATGTGACTCATCGTTTTGAAAGAATGTATTGACTTGTTTTATTTTGAACGAATTACGACATAATCCATTTTGTTTTATTTCATTCTTATTAGATATACCTTCATCTGCCACAATAGCAACAAAATCAGAAACAGAAACAGAGTCAGCAACAACAGAGACAGAAACAACAATATCGAAAACAACAAAGCCGAACACAAACATACGGTCAACAACAAGGACAGTAACCACATCTTTGACGATTAATGAACCAAAAACATTTGCAATGACAAAGCCAAGCACAAACATACGGACAACAACCACATCTTTGGCGACCAAAGACCCGGAAACATTTACAACACCACAGACAGAAACTAAAAATACAGAACCAACGCAACTAGAGATAACAACAAAGTTTACGACCACGAAAGAAAAACTACCAACAGAGGTCGCTACACACACAACAGTAGTAACTAGTAGCACATCTAAAGAACCAGAAATATTTACAACACCACAGACGGAAACTACACCTGCCGAACAAATACAAGAAGAGCCGAATATAACCGTTACGTCAGTAGTAACAGGTGCACCCTTTGTAGCTAAGCCTTTATTTTTTAAACCTCCTTGTAATGACCGGTTATGTATGTGCCGGTGCCCATGCCCTACCAAACCACGGAGTAGATCTGATGCCCAACCGAAGTCAATTGTAGTAGTGAAAAAAACGTTATCTAAAACCAGGAGGTTGAAAAATAGTTCAGAAAATGTTAATCAATCAGAAGTCTTGTTAGGAGCGAGCGCTACAATAATATGTACATTGTGTATTGTGTTCATTTTGCTGCTGGATATTTCAAATATTTACAGGGAGTGCATTGAAAGATTCTCCGATTACCAGAAATCAAAAATCGCACCGTAGCTTATTCCTAATTACAGCCGAATAGTGCGGTAATATAAAAGTTGACCTTTCACTTTTCCAGACAGAATAAAAACTATGTTACGTTTGGCTTATGACGTGTTGAGGTATACGACACAAATCTCTTAAGTGTCGTTTATATCATGCAGTGGTCAGTGTCGCGCTCGTGTTCGCAGTTGCGTTCGCACTTAGTATAAATCGTCATTTTCATTTTTCGGACATTACCTTAATGATGTATTTTGTAAGATTGAGATAACGAGCTGACCGTTCTTGCTATCTATCTGATTTAAATACAGATTTATATTTATAGTTCGCTCTTTCTTATAACATGTTCCGTTTCGTTTTTTATACTTTCGATGGCCTCTACTACATGAAGATCTGACCAGTTTTAGTGGGAGGTCGCATCAGAGGTCATTCGAGCAGCTTTTCACCCTATAGCGTCATACCTTTCATTAACCAATCAGCGTTGGTGTTTCTAGTGGGTTACCCACAGTTCCGTGCAACTCACACCAGAAACTCGCCGTAACAGACCGTTTCATTGGCTAATCCCCCACATGATTCAGAACGCAGGTTTTATAACAACTCTTCCAGATCCTAGTGTAGTAAAGACAAGTAAAACGAAATTTTGAACTATACAAAACGAAACTTTGAACTATACAAAACGAAACTAAATAGGATCTGTGTTTTAATCAGATTGTTTTTGCTGTCATAATAGATAATACAAAATTAATTATTTTATTCTGGGCGTTGTTATGGCCTTTTGAAGATGTAGCAATGTTTTATAGTTTAATTGTCAGTGAGTCATAATTATTTATTTTTTGCAAAACTGTATATCGAAGGGGCCGGGGGGGGGGGGGGGCTATGACTTAGAACGTATCGGATATCTCTTTTCCTGTAACCTGTCACATTTGTGAAATAAGCCATGTTTAATAAAGTTAATTGGACTCGATCGTAATTTAATAAGGCCAGAAACAACGTGGTCACAATATACTCAGTAACACTAACCTGGAGGTTTCGTGTTCTATCCCGGTGTTTGTCGAGAAAGTTCTTCGGGATTTTCGGGCGTGGTTCCCCCTTGTGAGTGGTGTAGGACGGGGAGTCTGACAATGGACAACGTATAGTCGTTCGGATGGAAATAAATACCGAGATCGTGTGTACACATTAGCGTGCGCGTAAAAAACCCATTGACAGTTGGAATTCGAAATAAGAGTAGGCCGTAGCGCCGCTGATCGGGCATGTGGATCCTCTTTAATCTTTCCCCTCCTCCATAATTCTAAAAAAATTAAAATAAAATATTTGTGATATGTTTCGGTAATCAGTAACTTACACGGTGAATAAAACAGCTCTTTTTATCTCGACGGTCAGTGCCAGATTCCTTCTCCGGCAGTTTTTCAAAAGATTGGCCCACCCAGCTTTGCTCCTCCATCCACTGGTGGCTGGCGGCGCCGCCGCCGCCGTGTAAAAATAGAAATGGATGGTATTTTGGTGAATATTCATGTTTCTGGCCGCGTGAAGTCAGCACAGAAACTCATGATGTATTCATTTTCGAAGGCCATCTCAGTTTTCGTCAGGGTCGCCGAGATGTAAATAAGGGCAGGGCACGTGATTGTTAGCACGATTGTAGGTTACGGTAAGCATTAGGACTAGGTCCAGGGTTAGGGTTGGGATTAGCGCTAGCCCTGTTTACATCTCGTAACCTTTAACCAAACTTGAAGTTGACCTTATCAAATAGATCTGCAACCTCTTTAATGATGTCAATGGGAGGAGAATTTCGAGTCTGGATTAAGAATAGTAATTATTTCCCTTTACTTGAAGTTGACCTTATCAAATAGATATAACCCTTCTGCAACCTCTTTAATGATGTCAATGGGAGGAGAATTTCGAGTCTGGATTAAGAATAGTAATTATTTCCCTTTATTTCACGAATGTAGTACCAGTTATACATAGACAATTTTTTTCTTAATTTATTTTCTCCTGCATTTTTAAGTTGACATTTTGGTCTAGAATATGAGAAAAGGGATCAAATTTGCAGTTTCATAGCAGTTTGGGGTAATGCTGATGCTATTACAGCGGAGGGATAGGGGGTGTGAAGAGTCTTTGTGAGAGCAATCACTACGTCGGAAGTGACCATTTTACCCCAGTCAGCATCAAATTCCCCTTGTAAAAATATAAACGATCAACCCTCTACATAATTATGATAAGGAGAGTCCCCTATGTGCTTATACTGATTGGAACCAACGGAATGTTGAGCGAGTGACGTTACAGCCATTTAGCATTGAAGTCAATGGGCAAATAATTGCTAGTCTGAGTCCGTCTGATTCCACCTGTCATCTAGTTATTTCCCTTGACATAGACGTCCTATTCTGACAGTGTGACCTCTAGCTACAATATAGTTTTAATGCTACAACTAATGTTCAATATAACTTAGTAGAAAAAAATAAAAAGTACCACAAAGAATTTTAATCAGATTAATTTTTTTTACTACACTTTATATATAATATTAAACTTCATATATAATATATACCCTATGAAATCACTGATTTTGTGTTTTGTACAAATCTTGTAAGGTTTTTAATCTAAAAAAAGCAAAATTATATATACCGGTAAATTAGATAACAATTTACATATTACTTTTGACCTGGAAAGAGTGTTTACCCATAGTTACTGTCCTACTGGGGTCCATGTTAAAAAATGGGAAAACTTTCTGGGGCCGAGATTGGGGAAACACTAGCGTGATACAAGTATTGAATTGAATTCATTTGTTTAATTAAAGATAAAGACAATATTATAAATCTGGTTGAGATCATAATAGAGGGTTAGTGTTAAGTTTTACGGTAAAGAATAAGAATTGAACTAAAAATATGTTTCTACGTGCTTTTCTCACCTGAATCATATAATCATCCGCTAATAATGTATTTACATGTAGATAGAACATACTAATTATTGAAAATGGACACGAATTTCGAAAACGAAGTTATTTTCCCAAATGTAATCTGTTTTCTAACCCGAACATCAGACGAAGGGGTTCAGGTTAACTCTTTTGCTAACTCTAACACTACATTTTGTTCTGACCTCACCCTTTGTCATAAAATATTAACTAAGCATGCCGTGCAATGAAAGTACAAGTGACAACATAGTTTTCTTTAAGAGTCTTGTGTCACATGTACAAGTCAAACATTACGTAATCATTATTCTGTCTGGTACGCAAATACAACAATAAATCTCTAAAATCAATTTTTATTTATTTCGTATTGGACGATTATTATCAGGAATATTCTACGGTACGAATTCTGATTTCTGATAATCAGAGAATTTTTTAAAACACTCTTTGCATAGTTTTGAAATATCTAGCAATAAAATCAACAAAATAAACAACATTAAGATTATAATAGCGCTTGATCCTAACCAGACTTCTGATTGGCTAACATTTTCCCAGCTATATTTCAACCTCTTCGTTTTAGATAGCGTTTCTTTTGCCAATAAAATTAACTTCAGTTGAGTTCTAGTGTGGAGTTGAGCTTCTGATATACTCCGTGGTTTGATAGCGCATGGGCAATGGCACATGCATAACCGGTCACTACAGGGAGGTTTAAGAAACAAAGGCTTAGGTATAAAAGGTACACCACTGCTACTAGTTACTACTGTTGTGTGTGTAGGGACCTCTGTTGGTAGTTTCTCTGTAGTTGCCGTAAAGTTTGTCATTAGCTCTAGTTGTATTGGTTCTGTATTTTTAGTTTCTGTCTGTGGTGGTGTAAATGTTTCTGGTTCTGTAGTCGTCAAAACTATGGCTACTAACCCTGTTGGTGGCATGGTTGTTTCTGTCCCTGTCGGCATGGCTGTTGTTGTTGCCCCTGTCGTTGTCGGTATGGTTGTTGTTGTCGTTGTGGTTGTTGCTGCTCTGATAGTCGTTGGTATGGTTGTTGTCGTTGTGGTTGTTGTTACTGCTCTGGTAGTCGTTGGTATGGTTGTTGTTGCTCTGGTAGTTGTCAGCATGGTTGTTGTTGCTCTGGTGGTTGTAGGTATCGCTAACAAAATGAAATAGAACGAGGGAATTATTTTTCAATTCATTCAAAATAAAACAAAATCATTCAAAAATATAGGTAGCTTATCAAATATTCTTCATTGTGCCAACTCCATAACATTTCTCGACCTATAAAAGTGATTTTAATCCTTAAAGTCACAAATAGCCCAATAGGTCACAATCATCTGATAAAATATTGACAGGGGTTGTTGTCTATTTTGACTTTTTGCAAGGCCTGATCAAAGGACTCTATATGTTGTTTTTTTTTTCTTTTTACAAAATTAACGTCCAATACATTGTATTATGTTTTTCATGGACATGTTGATTTAATTAAGTTATTTACATATGATAGCTTAATATAGATATTTAAATAACTTAAATCTATAGGCGGTGACGTCATTTAAGGCGGGGATCACTCTTAGTCACGTGTGTCTACTTCCTGATCCTTCCGCTCTGAAATCATGAATATTCATCGAAACCTGACATAAAATGTAAATTTATACACTCTTCGTCGATTCTAGACCAAAACGTCAACACCAATTACCATGCAAAAAGGTGGGGTGGGGGAGATAATTGCTATAAATAAAGGCACTACATCCTGAGAAGTCATTACCAATCTTACTCGTTTGCTTCATTTGTGATGGGGTGGTGGATAGTTACTATGTACATTCAATAATCTAGATTATCATTAAAAGAGGTTTAACCTACCAGTTTCACAGTCTAGTCCTGTATATCCAGTCATACAATTACAGGTATAACTTAGGAATCCGTCAACACATGTACCTTGGTTACATGGATCAGCTGAACAGTCATCAACAAGATCTGTACAATTAAAAAAGTTGGAGTAATAAGCTATGTCCATTTGAGACCTTCATCGGTTTACAAAAACAATAATTTTCAGAGTAAACTACAACATTAGAGATAATTGTACCAAACAACCGGACGAGATGCAATATTATTATTAAAGGCTGTAATAAAGTGAACAATAAATAATCAAAAATAACGAGTAACAACGTTTTGGTGACAACTTAAAGTGGAATGATGCTCGTTTGAGGTTTTCGCCGCTTGATTATCACGATTTCGATTAGACAATGCAGGGAATTTTCAGCTTAAAACATATGCATAATTTCAGATAAATCAGTCACGCCATTGCAAAGTATGGTGAATGATGACAAATTTAAAATGTATCATGTCCTTGTAGACACTGAATGGGTTCAACTTAAACGATATTGTAGTTGGCACGGAAGTAACAACCCGAGACTATTTGCACCGAATTTAATTAGATTTGCTATCGTGGGAAAGAGTTCTTCCACATTTTGACCACATACATAACTTATCACTTTAAGTTCATTGGCATAATTGTTATGTACCTATTTCACAGTGATCTCCGGAAAAACGTGTTAAACAGTGACATCTGTAGGATAGACCAACTTCTAAACACCAACCGCCATTTTGACAAGGACTGTTTGCACATTCTTCTACTCCTGAAAGAAAATAGCATACGTGAATGACGAAACGCATATTACCTATTGCTGCTTTAATAAAGAAAACAAAATCAAAATGTCAATGCTAGATAATGTATCAGATAACCTAAACATTATGCAAAAGCTAAATATGCCTATAGCAGGCCTTTCTTTAGGCATTAAATGTTATATAAACTATTAATTAGACATTTATTCATAATCAACGCTCGATGCCAACTGATGGGTCCGAATTTCAACAGATTTGAATCCGATTTGCTGTTTAACGGCCCTTGATCATTAACCGTAAAAATAGACAATCAAGTCTTTGTTTATTATCGTAACAACGGAAACAAGGACAATCGAGGCTATGGTGTTATTAAAATGAAGATATCTCGGCTGAGAGTGAAGTACTTTTCAGTATATTCTCTTTACATTCTCCATATCTAACTATTATAGTACGAACTGTCAGTTCTTTATTTAGTCTTCCATAATGTCTGTTTAAGATATGGTCATTTAGTCTTCCATAATGCCTCTTTAAGTTACAGTCATTTAAAGCCTAGGATGGTTTCTATTGGTTTCAGAGAGAGAGAGAGAAATGGGGTTTAACGTCCACTCGACACAAACTAGGTCATTTCGGGACTAACATATGGTTTAAATTTATTTCAATAATTCGCTTGCGCGTAGGGGTCTTAAGCAGTGGGAGGAAACCGGAGGACCCGGAGGAAACCCACGAGGTTGGACAGGCGACCCTACTCCTTGTCACGTACAACCGGGGATTCGAAACCACGCCAGTTGACTCAATGACAGGCCTTATGATACAGCGCGCACATGCTAACCATTCGGCCATCCAACCCCCCTTCTATTGGTTCACACCACCCTATTAGATGAATAAAAGTAATAATAGCTATCTATTTCACGCATGCCCGTCGATTGTTCGTCAATGTATTTTATTCATACTCAGATGTGCATAGTTACATAATAACGACCGTCCTTAGAAGTTGAAAGTGCCGAAATCTGTTAGCTTTGTCAACTCCTCAAACGGTAGAATACTATGGAAGGGTATCAATGCCAATATTAAATGCTCTGTTAAAATGTCTTTCCATTGATTATATGTAAAAAGTACAATACCGGTAATGATAAAGTAAAAATACCTTTAAAACCAAAGTTAAATGTAAAACGTCAAATGTAATGTGTCAAATGACAAATGTTTTATTGGAAAAGGCTGTTTTTTGACGTGTCTACATTTGACATTTCTCTCATTACATTTTACATTTGCGCTCTGCCACATCTTTTTTGTCCTTCACGCTTTCTACATAGCATCCTACGCAGAGCACTAACTATTATATGCAAATGTAGATATCACATGACTTATTAACGTATACGGAAACGAGGCCGAGAACAACCTGGCACACTGTAAGCAGCACACGATAAGAGTATTATCAACCTGGCACTCCATAAAAAATTTTCTTATCTTGAAAAACGATCAAATTTTGATGGTATTAAACTA